ATTGAGGCCCTCCGAAAGTCATCTCAGAACATCGTCCGGCGAAGGAACATGAACAAATAAGGACCTGAAGTCGTCACGAGATCTTTGTTTATTAAACTCGAAATGGAAGGTTTTGAGTGCAAGGGATGGAAACCGGCACGAGCTGAAGGGCCAGTCCCTGACTGCATTGCCTCAGGAGCTTCGCTTCGCTTGTCAGGGGGCGATGTGAGGGGTGATGTGGGGTGGTGAGGGCCCAAGCTTCTTTGGCGTTTCTCCGAAGCAGATCAAAGGAGGGGTCAAGGGGTAGGCAGGGGTAGTCAGGGGAGTAGGGGTGGTGAGGGGTGGTGACGGTAGTGAGGGGTGGTGGGGTCGGAGGGCGTGTGTTCAAGCCTCTTTACATTCTCTCCCCAAAAAAAAACATTCTCTGAAAGAGGTCAAGGGAGGGGTAAGGGGAGGGTGGTGAGGGGGTAGGGGCAAATGCAGGTGGTGAGGGTGGGTTGGAGCCAATGAGGGGTGAGGGGTGGTGAGGGTGGCGAGGGCGGTGAGGGCGTGGGCGTGTGTTGGAGCCTGTTTATAACATTCTCTGAAAGAGCTGAAAGGAGGGGCAAGGGGAGGGTGGTACCCCCGTTCGCCGTCCGGGGGTCGGTGGACATTCCTGTCCAAGCCCCCTGTCCAGGACTTCAGCCATCTCACCCAGAGTCAGCTCAAGGGTTCCATGGCTTCCATTGACGACATCCACGAGCAGGCTCGGGCCACAAGATTGCTGTGTCCTCTAGAAGATTTCGTAAGATGCTTTCGGATGGTATTAGCGATTTTGCAGGGCTTGTTATGCGTGTGCACCCGCAGCTTTGCAAGGTTGTCGGCCTTGTGGATATCCGCCAGATTCTGGGCAGCTTGCAAAGCGCAGTGCAGAGGATGGAAATGTGGCTTTGCGGACACTATCGTTGGCGAGATTGAAAGTTCAGGCTTGCGGACGGTTGATGCGGAGACTGGATGCAGGTAAAGGGACATGGTGATACCAGTGATACCAGGGGTGCTGGTTGCAAGCTGCCAGTGAGAGGTGCTGAGAGTGTCAAATTCTGAAACGTAGGCTCCGCTCACTCAGGTGCCTGTCTCATCAGATGGTGGCCGTGGAAGACATGCACTCCGCGATGGGCCTCGGCTTCTCGGCTGAAATCACAGAACTCTCGAGGGATGGCATGCTCCCACCGCCTCACCACCCCTCCCACCCACATGGTGCAACTGAGGCTCGCCGCAGCGCATCGACCGAAAAGTGCCCCTTGGTTTCAAGAAGCTTCGAGCACGTGCAGCCCCTCATCCGGCAGAAGAGCATGCACTGCGCGCGTGAGTGCGTGCATGCGCGAGCGCACGTCGGTCTGTCTCCCTCTCTCTTTGTCTCTGCCTCTGTATGTGAATGTGAGTGTGTCTCTCTTGCTCTCTCTGTGTCTTTTCGCATCTCACTGTGTGCCTCTTTCTCCCCCTCTCTCTCCTCCTCACTCTCTCACTCTCTCTCTCTCCCTCCCTTCCCTCCCTCCCCGCGAAGTTTGACCCGAAGTCGGCGGCAGCGCCGCGGAAGCCTGTATGCCGATCTCAAGGGTCCAGGCCCTTCCCAGCAGAGCTCAGCGGAGCTGCTGCAAGCTCAAGCGCCACCTCCGCAACTCTACTTCTCAGCCAGCCTTAAAAGCATGCCTGCCCTTCCCTATCCATTATTCCAAGCAGTCCACGTGTGCGATTGCTCGAAGTTTCAGCAGTGTTTCGTCACCCGACACGCATTCGAGTTTATGTCTTGCAGACCTACTCGAAGCAAGTTCTCAAAACCACACGAAAATCAGCTTGCGGAAGCGTCCGCGGAAGCAAGCGCAGCGGACGAGTAGAAGCAGTACTTGCGGAAGGGTTCCGCGGCAGGGTTCCTTCTTTCATGGAGACAATCTTGTAGGAATAAATCGGCATAAAACCACAGCTCTGTTGGGCCAAGGGTCAGCGTGTGATGAAAAGGTACCTGCAAATTCGAGTGTGCCTGGTCCCGACACGTCCCGAAGCAAGTGTAGTGTGTGTTGTGTCTGTGTGTAACTGGGGGTGTGGGTGGGGTGTGGGTGGGGTGTGGGTGGGGTGTGGGTGGGTGGGGGTGGGGCGTGGGTGGGTCGTGGGTGGGTGTGGGTTGGGTGCGGGTGTGTGTGGGTGGGTGTGCGTGGCGTGTGGGTGGGTGCGGGTGGGTGGTTCAGGTCTCTGGCGGACAGCCCAGGGCTACGCATGGGCTCTGGGTCGAGCTTGAAACGTGGAGGCCGGGTAAGGACAACATTGCGGTCCTGTTGCAACGGTCTAGTGCTGCGGGCTACGTGCTGCTTACATGCTTTGTCCGTGGGTAGCTAGAGACCCAACTCTCCTTTTGTGAGCTTTGAGTTGTTCAGATGCCAGGCTCGCGGGAGCCAATACAGGCGCCAGATCTGCCTGTTCGAGTTTTGATTGCTTGCGCTGGAGGGTTTGAGACTCGCATCATGCGGACTGCAGTGATTATAGGGAAATCTCATTAAGACCAAGGTCTTTCATACCTTATTCATACCTTACAACAGAAAGGCCTTGGAGCAGGAGGCCCTCTGGCAGTCATGCCGCGAGAAACCCCAAAGCCCAAACCTCTGAGGTTCAGGCTCCAGAGATCGTCCAGGCGGGCATCTCTGCTTTATTGCCGGCCATGGTGATGTCATGCGGCCTGTGGGCCTGTGGGCCTGTGGTAAATATTTAAAACATCGGCGCCTCATTGAGCTCCCCCAGGCAGAAGCCTTAAACCTGCATGGAGCTCCATGGATTCGGTGTTTCGTGTCGCTTCAACAGGACTTTGCAGAGGATCCTGAGCTGCAGAATGGGATTCAGACATGTTCAGACACGTGAAGGGATGTACGTGAGAACGCTGCCGTGTTGTTTTCGTGTGGTTTATCGGAACAGCATCTCAGTCGTAAATATGGAATATGGTGATGAACCTTCTTGAGGGGTTCTACGTCGAGAATTTAATCCCAAGCCTCAGGACGAGCCTATGATGCTTCCGGATCCACATCTGGACTTTTCCGATGCAGGCGAGGGTTGGAGCTTGTTCTCGAAGCGACAGACCGCCAGGGCAATTATGGAACATGTCCCAAGCAGCTTCATCGCAGTCTTACCGGCGTCAAAGCTTGTGTAGCAGGCTCAGTGAATGGGGAGCTGAGCCAACAGGGACTGTTGCACGCCGCCGCACCCATTAGAGTTGCACAGGAGGCAGCACCAACAACAAGGACAGATAAGGACAGCACCAGCTGTCATCAAAACAGTAGCCACCCTCATTGGCCACTAAGATCATCCGACGCGTGGGCCGAAGAGCGCCGTCTGGAAAATCACCACCCCGCAGCATTCAGGGGATGGGGAAATCCCCGGCTCCAGTTTTGGAGGTTCTGACATGGTGTGAATGCTCAAAGACTCCAAGCCCCAAATTTCGCGGGGCTTAGCGGGTGTGTCGCATTCACAGCGTCAGGTGGACAAAGCTGGGCCCTCCCTGCCTACACCGGCTCCCGCAGTATGGTGTCGAAGGCCAGGCTCCGGAGTTTCGACGCTACGCGACCCGTTCCAGGAAAGCCAGCTCTTTGGCACG